GCTTTCGATGGAACTTAGTTTAGTTGGGAAGCACTAGATTAAATAAAAACAATTATGGTTGGGATAAGTGCTCCATAGGAAAAGTATGGGGTGCTGTGAGAGCATGTCAGGGCTGCCTAAGTTATGTGTGCTCGGTGATCAGGGAAAACTAGAGGAACCCATTAAACTGAAGTCTTAAGGATGGGTGGGAGTTGGGAAAGTTGGAGGAGTAGTAGTATTGGGCATGAAGAGTCAAGAGACAGAGCTTTTGTGGGCCTTGGGTTCATATTAAGGAAAAAATGTTATCTGGAGAACAAGAGAAAATCTTTGAAGGGTTTTAAGTAAGGGATGGGCTGCCAAAAGTCTGAGGTATCATGGCACTGGTACAGGAATACACCAGCTCTATCCGTTTTTCACTCACCTCAGCTATTAAGCAGCAGCCAGCTGTGTCTGACTGAACTCTTTGTCCTGTCTGGGACAGATAGAATCCATTCAAGAATTATCTGTTGATTTTGCAGTTTCTGTGGCAAAGATTATTACCAAATTAAAGCAGTTTCTGCCTTAAAACCACCTATCCATCCATGTGAGCATGTCTTCTAGCCTGTAGTGGTTCACTTTACTAGGAAAATAGATGAGGCTGTCCAACAGTTGTTATAAATCTTTTTTGTTTGAGGATGATGGCTTTTCTTCTGATTTTTTTTCCTATAAGAACGACAGTAATGCTCAATTGTGTGTGTGTATATATATACATGCATGTATATGTATATTTGTTTGTTCAACTTTTTGCTGTTTCTCTCCATGGAGAAAGCTTCCCTTAGAGAGTTCTTATGTTTATAGATAACACATCAAAATTTTAGCTATTGGTTGTATTTATTAGCATTCTCATCTACTCTGGTTTTAAATTTCAATCTCCGTAAAAACATTGGTGATTAAATTAGATTACGATAATCTGCATTGTCAGAATGAGTAGGCATATGGTCTGTACAGTATAAGAAAATAAGTAGTGATCCTACCACTTTCTGATTATGAATATGTAAAATTAGATTATGAGTTGATCGTGAATGAGTGATACTAGATGGCATTTCTGTAATCCTTTGGCTGGCTAAGTTTGTTTCATATTGTTTATCTGATAGCCCACACTCTTCTTGAAGCCTTGTAACTGATCTTTTATTTGAGTTTTTGTGCATTACTATGTAACTCTTTCCTACTTGTGTGATAAACCAAACTTTTATTGCCCTTTTGGGGGATATGCTGAGCTTTTTAGATAATATTATGTTCTCATATATTAGTTAAATTTTATTATTATTTGTATGTTTTGATGTACCTGTTTATATAAGGCTCCAGGACAAGGGGCTATATTTAGTACCTAGAAGAGTTTAGTTCAGAGAGGTGAGATATGAGAAAATGGTTCCTCACAATATAAATGTTGACTATTCCTTGTTTGGCTTATACTTTTTTGGTACAGATATAGCAGTATACTCACATACAGACACACTGGGATATAATAATATATTTATGATTACTTCCAGTGTTGGTGTGATGCATTAATGGAGAGAAGGAATAAAGGAATAAAGAGAACTAACATTTTTAGTGATGTGAGCTATCACATGCCAGTTTGTATGGAGCGTGCAAACTCCTGATTGAACAGGAAAGGTTATTTTTGGTGTGTGCCCGGCATGGTCCCTGGCACACAGCAAACATCAAATCAGTGCTAATTAAACTGAATGGAAGATTTGGAAAATAATGAATCCTGTGAACAGTAGAAACATAGGAATTGGCTAGGTCAGACCCATTATTTAGCCTTATATTCCGTTGCCAACAGTTTTTTTCTTTAAAGAATTATGAAGTGGCTTGTTTGACCTTTCTGTTAACTTTGTATGTTTTAATAACAATTTATGGCTCTGTTATTTTACAAATTATCAAAATTCATTTGACAAGCATTTTGGTGATTTTCTTCTGGAATTTCTTGTCATGATTAGTTCCATTAGTTTATTATTTGCTCTCCATAAAGGTATACACAGTTTTAAATGGAAGTAAATGTTTTTTTCCCTGAAAATTTGGAGAAGGGTATAAATTATGGAAATTTCTAGGTATTTCTCTTAGCCTGGGTCTTACAAGGAAAAAAATGAAAATAATGTCTGGTATTTGGACCCCATACCAAATCCATGCCTCTGGTACAGTTTGTCCTTTGGAATATATTGGGAAATATATTTTGAAGTCTTATAAGTTTGTACTTTAGTGTACATTTTAGAAACCATTCTGAATTATTTTTAAAAGATTACTAGCCCATGAATTTAAAAAAACATTGTAAAATATATACTTTTTAATTTTTGTGGTAAAATATTCACATAACATAAAATTTACCATTTTAACCATTTTTAAGTGTACAGTTTAGTGGTATTATTCACACTGTTGTACAACCATCCATCCATCTCCAGAACTCTTTTCATCCTGCAAAACTAGAACTCTATACCCATTAAACAATAACTTTCCATATCTCCCTCTCCCCAGCCCTTGTCAGCCACCATTCCACTTTCTGTCTCTATGAATTTGACTACTCTAGGTACCTCTTATAAGTGGAATCACACAGTATTTGTCTTTTTGTGACTGACTTGTTTCACTTAGCATAATGTCCTCTAGGTTTATCCATGTCGTAGAATGTGTTAGAATGTCCTTTCTTTTTAAGGCTGGTTAACATTCCGTTTGTATGTATGTACTACATTTTGTTTATCCATTCATCTGTTGATGGACACTTGGGTTGCTTCTACCTTTTGGCTATTGTGAGTAATGCTAACATTCTAAAATATTTTGATTGAGTTGCTACTTAATTTTCTCAAAAGGTAACATCCTTTTTTCATTTATTACAGGAGGCATAGTCTAGTTGTTAAGAGGGAATGCTTTGGAATTGGAGTTTTTGGATTCAAATCCTGGCTGATACCTTTCTGGTTATTTCACTGTGGGCAAATAACCTTTCTGATGTCTCTTTGTTCAGCTGCCAAATGCAGATATTAATGGTACTTTATATTTTTTGGAGTAAATTAGGTAATGTATGTTAAATGCTTAGAGTAGTATGTAACACAAATTGTTACCATTTTTTAGGAAAAGGAGCCCATTAGTTCAGTTACTCACTCAAAATACTGCACAGTCTCCCAATTAGGTAATAATGAAAATTAGAGTTTTGAAACTCACTTTGGTGCTGAGAAGGAATACTTGGATTAAATAATACCAGCCTTTTCTTTGGGTGGTATTTTCTTTGGGCAGGGGTAAGTAAAAAAGAGACAGGGTTGAATATTGGGATAGTTGTCATTATTATCATCTTCATGGGAAAGGGTCCTGGCATTTAACCAGTTATACTGTGGTTTGTCTAACCAGACAAGAGCCAGAAGAATCAGAAGTTGGTCTCTGTTATTGCCACCTCTTCCTTATCTTTATTCTGTGCCAGTGACTTTCAAAAGCATGGAAAGTGGTGAGCTGCGACATTAGACAGGCAAACCAGGTTATGCAATGGACGGCATGGGTTTGTAAAGTCTGATCAGTTGTGACTCAGTGTTTTACAGTTTCTTGTGAGAAGTTTGGGCCACTAGTTTCCCCCCAAGAAAGATGTGAACTCAGAAATGGCTTTTAATATGTTGAATGCTTGCTTAAATTTTAAATTGAAAACTCAAATCTAGAGTACCAAATGCAGCCTGCCCAAGTTTTTGTTTTAAATCCAGTAAGCTGGCCCATATGAATAGTGCACTGGATTATCAGTCCTGAACATAAGTCCTTTACACCACTGTAATGTGGATGCCATGAAGTATGATGTTTCTGAATATAATTGTACAACTTTGAATGATTCAGGTTTAATTCTAGTAAAATTATATTATGAAAATAGTATAAAAGATTATGTTCAACTAAATATCCCTTTTGTATATGAATCTTGTTTGAGTCGTATTCAACAATACTGTGCCACTTAACATTGTAACCACTAAAAATGTGTTCTGGCTGCAATTGTTGAGATCTTGTCAGTTCTTTTAGAAGGATGACTACACCCACAGAATATGCTGAGTAGGGGCATATTTTTGTCCAGATGAAATTCAGTTATTTAAGGCCATGTAATCCAAAGGGGGAAAAAAATCTAAACTTTGCCCATCTGGTCTCACTAACGTTTACTATATTAGCTTGGCAAATATTTATTTCATAAAAAATATATAATTGAAGTGATGTCTCTTTCAGCGGACTTTACATTTTGTACTCTTTTACAATGACTTGATCGATTTTTAAATCAACATGGATATTAAAACAATCATAAATTCAAGATTTAGGGTACCATCTTAATAACATGACCAGTTACCATCTTATTTTTATTTTCTCTTTATTTTTTTTGCTGAGGAAGATCCGCCCTAAGCTAACATCTGCTGCCAATCTTCCTCTTTTTGTATGTGAGCCACTGCCACAGTGTGGCCACTGACAGACGAGTACTGGTGTAGGTCCATGCCTGGGAACCGAACCCCGGGCCGCCCAAAGCGGAGAGTGCTGAACTTAACCACTAACCAACCAGGCCTCACCCCACCATCTTACTTTAAATGGTTGTATTTCATATAGTGTTTAATAGTCTTAACAAAATTTAGTAAGGATAGAGTCACAAAAATGCATTTTTACACAGACATGAGGATTTCAGTGTATAAAACTATTAGTTTGGGAATAGTGATAAGACTAGCAATCCAGGATAAAGTAGTTGGGATGACTTAGTAAAACTGCAAGGAAATAGAAAGATATATCATTGACTACCTCTGCCTCTTGAGTTCTCTTTTTTCCTCACATGATTCATCTTCAGAAACCGTGGAGTAGTTATCTTGGTGAGTTTAAGAATAGTGACTTGATAAGTTTGGTAGTACAGTGAGAAGCTAGGGTTGAACATGATACATAAAGGTTAGTAGGTTTGTTGTAGTTCTCAAACTGCTTAATTCAGGAATTGAGGAAGTTTTTCCAAGTTAAGTGAGAATATTTTAAGTAGATTTTTAAATTTTTTTATTTTTCAGCCAAACCCAACAGGAAGCTTACTTTTCTCTACCTAGCCAATGATGTCATTCAGAACAGCAAAAGGAAGGGGCCGGAGTTTACAAAAGATTTTGCACCAGTTATAGTGGAGGCTTTTAAGCATGTTTCAAGGTATGATAATTGTTCTGGATACTAGGTAATCTGTTTTAAATGCATAATATGTCCTTTTGCTAAAATTTGCCATAAGCCATTAAAATAAAAAATGGAGAATGTATTTCTTCCGAGTTTTCATTTGAAATTACCTGAATGGCATTTGTAAATGTGTTAAATACTTTCTGTGAAGGAAAATTTGTTTGAACTGTTGCTGAGGTGGGTGTTTGGAGTGCTTGAATTACAGCTTTCCTTTAAGAGACCAAAAGCAACTGCAATATTGAAATGAACTTTTAAGAATGAATGAAGGTGTTGAATTGAAAATTTGTGTGCTTAAAAAGCTGTCAATCTTCCAACTAGTATTTCTGGATAAACTTAGTACCCTTTCCCCTCATTGCTTATACTGATTTTAAGGTTTTCTAGTATGTGGGTATATGTCATAACATTTTTAAGTGCTTTGGAAATATAGAGTATTTTAAATAATCATACACCTGTTGAAGAATTTTGCTACAGAAAAATTCTAAGAGTAGAAGTCTTTACTTTGGCTTACGCTTTTAAATGCTTATTTCCAAACATTACATGTGAATATTTGGTACATTACTGGGTAAGCATTATTGGTGTAGACTGTTAAATCAGTCTAAATATAGAATTCAGTGGTGAATGATGATCTGTGTTGAATGATTTAAGGATGAAAATATACTCACCAAATGCCCTGCAGTTTTAGTCACAGTGGATGCATTTTTAAAAAATTACAGAGTGTGAAATACTCCTGTATGTTACTTTCTTAAATAAATATCATTTGTTTAAGATAGTTTCAATCTTAAATACTTCAATTTAGATACAGTCTTTTCAGATGTTAGTGTTTCTTAGAGTTCAGTCCTAGACCGTCTTCTGGGGTTATATTCTTCACTTGCCCTCTGGGTGATTTCGTACACTGCATGTATTTAGTTATTATCAATACCCTAATAACTCTCAGTCTTACACTGCAATCTAGGTTTTTTTTCTTTGTTTTAGACCTGTATGTTTAATTACTTACTGAATTTCTAGTTGTATGCCTCCAAACATCCCAGACCCACTGTCTGATATTGAACTCATTATGTCCTTGCTCCCTGTTAAACTTGCTCCTCTAGATTTCACTCTCGGTGAATGGCAACTTCCTCTATCCAGGTGCCCACACGAGAAATTAGGTGTCATCTTTAACTCTCTGTGATACTGAGATTTATGATATATCACACTCTTCTTTTTTATTCCACTTATTCCACGTAATACATATAGTTCCTTCAGTTCTTTAGATTTGTTTCCATTCCAGTTACCACAGTCATTTCTGTATAATCGCAGTAGCCTCCAGTATTGTTTACTCCATTTAGGAAACTGTAGCCAGAGTTGCAGAGCTGATCATAACACTCCCTTGCCTTTGAGTGATTCTTATTTGTCCTAGAGATCAAGCCTAAAGTCCTGAGCAAGACTTAAGATGTTCTGTCTACATGGCCCTGTCTACGTCGTCAGACTCCTGTGTCACATTTCTTCCACACATACACTCTGTAGTCTACAGTTTAAGCTATTTCAACCTATTTTAGTTCTTTCTACCTTAAGGCTTTTATGTATGTTACCTCTCCCTAGAATTCAATACAGTATTAATTGACTGCCTACTATGTGCTAGGCCCTGAGGATACAGTAGTGAACAAGACAAAGTTATGTTCTAGTGGAGTTTACATTTCAGTGGATGACAAAGGTAATAACTAGATAGACAAGTGAATATATATTATAATGTCAAAAGATAAATACTATGAAGAAATATAAAGCAGGGAAGAAACTAGAGAGTATGACAGTGCTCAGTTGTTAGTACCCTCAATTCTATTCCAGCTCCAAGTGACCTAGTGTACAAGACAGCAGAACCCTACCAGGTCTTTTTGCGCCACCCTCTCACCTTCCAGTGCTGTATCAGACAGTGCTCTGCTGCTACTCATAGGGTTTTCATGGCCAATTTTTTCGGAAGTGGGTGGCCAGGTCCTTCTTCCTAGTCTATCTAGCTTAGAAGCTCCAATGAAACCTGTCCACCACGGGTGACCCTGCTGGTATTTGAAATACCAGTGGCATAGCTTTCAGCATCACAGCAACACACAGCTGCCACAGTATGACAACTGGTGGACGGGTGGTGTGGTTCCCTGACGGGGAAACCAACCTGGGCCACAGCAGCGAGAGCATCAAATCTTAACCACTAGACCATCAGGGCTGGCTGCTCAGTTATATCATGAGATAAAGAATGACTGTTTTGGGGAGATAGCATTTGCACAGAGACTAAAGGAAAGGATGAAATGAGCCGTTTGACTATCTAGGAGCAAAGGATTCTAGGTAGGGAGAAGGTATTTAGGGAATGTGGACTGAGAGGTAGCCAGGAAGCAGAACATGTCCACCTTGTGGCCCAGGATAAGGATTCTGGTTTTATTCTAGGTATGATTGGTAGCTCTAAGAGGATTGAGAGCAGTATGAGTTATGTTAATAGAGAATAAAGTGAAAGAGGAGAGCCTGGGATACCAGTGAAAAGACTCTTACAAAAATCCAGGCAGGAGATAATAGTGGCTTAGTTTACAGTGGTAGTGATGAAGGCAGTAGGAAGTGGTTGAGAGTGGTCTGTTTCCCACTTCCCTGTATATCCAGTCTTCAGATCTCAGATTAAATATCACTTCCTCAAATACCCTTCCTGATCTTTCTTGAACTGAGCAAGTCTCTCTGTTATACCTGTCTTTAACACCTTGTTCTCCTTTGTGGCACTTATAAATAACAGCTGCCATAAAGCTCCGTTTGTATCTTCAGTGTCAAAGATAGTGCCTTAATCAATAAGTATTTGTTAAATAACTTAAAAAATCACCCATTAGAAATCTTCCTTAGCCCCATGTTCAACCCTTATTAGGTTAGGGACGTCTTTGTAAACCCCTAGTAGCCGGTACTAACACTTTGACATTTTTGGTTATTATTTGTTTAATAATATGTCTATAAGCTCTTAAAGGAAGCAGAGAGTATGTCTGTCTTGATCACTTCACCCCTGAACTACTGGTCATGTAGTGTTGCTCAGTAAAATTTCGGACAGGTTTTTTCAGGGAATGAATGTCTAATTGTATTTAAAATAACTGTTAGCTTTTCAATAGCACTATGCATTTTTACTGTTGATGTTTTTATTTTTTCTTTAGTGAAACTGATGAAAGTTGTAAGAAGCACCTTGGAAGAGTGTTATCTATTTGGGAAGAAAGGTCTGTTTATGAAAATGATGTATTAGAACAGCTTAAGCAAGCTCTGTGTAAGTATAGTCTTTTATGATAATCTTTTATCATGATCCCTTCATTAAAATGTATTCTTTCATTAAAACTTAAATGTTATTTCAATTCAGATGGCGACAAGAAGCCTAGGAAGCGAACTTATGAACAGATAAAGGTGGATGAAAATGAAAACTGTTCGTCTCTGGGATCTCCAAGTGAACCACCACAGGTAGTTTTTCTGTTAGGAGACTTACATTACTGTTACTTCCTGTGGCCACCAAGATTTATTAATTTTGATGTTTTACCTCTGTAAATTGATTTTTATTCTAATTCTGGTTACAAGAAAGAAGCTGTGTGAATATCTCTTATTTTCTGATTAGCAAATTGTTTATGTTTAATGCAGTATGTTCTGTATTGTATATTAGGCAGTCATATTTTGCATAGAAAGAGGATTTCTGATTGCTAAGTATGATTAGGTCTGGTGACATATCCACCATTTAAACAATTTCCTTTTAAATAAATAAGACATATGATAAGACTATTTTGTTGTATGATTTAAGTACACTAAAAATTCCATTCCTTTTAAGTCTTTTTGCTTTTAAACATGTAAAAATGAGTGTTAGAGTAACAAGTATGTATTCGTATGGTTTTAGTAACTATATAGAGCCATGTAGTTTCATGGTAAAATAACTTGAATTAGAATCATTATCTTAATACCGTATGTACTCTCAGGTTGGTGCAGTAAGTATAGCATTCCTTAACCATCAGATGATTCCAGAAAGACATTTTTAATTTTTAATTATGTGGCATTGAGTCTTAAAGCTTCCTCCTTCTATGTTTCAAACATATAGGAGGGACAGATAAAATTTAAAAGGAGAAAATGAAGACATAGCCATACTCTTAAAACAAGGTAAATATCTTCGTGGGCTAGAAATGAAACAGAAGCACAACTCAATATGTGAGCCAGGGACTGGTTCTTGCTGAGCTTTGGTCTAGAAGCAGACATGGGTTGCCAGAAATTAGTATCTTATAGGGTAACAAGAGCTCACAGTGCTCTGTGGGAGTTGGAAGACTGGACCCAAACTCACTGCATGGAGCCAGGGGCTGGGTGGAGCTCTCTCCCCCATGAAAGGAGCTTGAAAGAAAGATACAACCAATTACTGCCTAGAACTGTAGATTTATATCAAGGTTAGTACTAAGGAGACGAAGAATCCAACCAGGGCGTTCAGCTAGGATCTGAGCCAAACTGTCTGTTGGCTCAATGACACGAATGCTGAAGCCAGCATGGTCACCATGGACAAGAGCTTGAATAGGAAAGTAATAAGAACATAACGTTTGGAACAACCAAACACTAAGGTTTATATTTCTTTCTATTTGATAATAATTGAAGACAGAGAATCACTTTGTGCTAAGAGCCCCATTATGATTCCATGAACAGTATTTTACCTGAATTCTAGATACAGGGTCTAACCTTCTCCTACTTTCCCTGATGAAAGAGTAACCTCACTTGTACCTAGGAGTAACTTTGAGTAACCATCTGACTCTTCTCTAGTACTGGTATAAAATGCCATTACTTTTCGATTTATAATGACCATTTTCAGATTAATTGTACTGCTTAATTCTCAGTGGTTTAGCTTTGTAGTCACCATTTTATTTATGTCATTCTTTATAAGAATGGCTAAAATATCGCTTTGTAAGATTCAGTTGAACTCATTTTATTCTCCTCTATTAGGAACTTCTAGGCTAACGTTGTTTCAGACAACTTTGCATTCTTATTTGATCCTTGACCCCTCATTGGGAACTTAGAATTAACTCATGTAGGAATGTGAAGGTGTGAAGAGAGTACATTGTAGTTAAAGCATTCATGCATTGTCAGGGCCATAAAGCCAGGTTTCTTCTTAGAACTCTAGAAAGACTGATTAAAAAATAATAATATATAAGTTAATTAGGGCACCACAAGAAACAAGCTTCCTGGTAATTGTCATTGCTTTTAAGCTCACTTTCATTGTAGAGGGGATCTATCTTATAATGAACTTATTTTTTAAAATATTGAGATTTTAAACACATAGTAATGAATTTAAAAGGCTACTTGGGATAGTATATTTCTCATTAGGTTCCATTCATTCTATCATGTTGGATCATTTGCTATGTTATAGACCCCAGTGATAGCATTTTTTGTAAGGGAATAGCTTAAAGAAAAATCAGTGGCTGACTGTCAGTGTCATCTTAATATATACACAGAATTGATAATATCATATATTTTTCAGGTATGTGTGTAATTTCCTAGTGTTTCAGGATCTAGTCTTAGAGATTAAAAAAAGAAAGAAAAAAAAAAGAGATAGGAGGGGATGGAAACTAGTAAAAAAAAAATTTACTCATTTTTCTTTAGAATTACTTCATAGACATTATGAATTGTGAAATCACCAGCAAAGACTTGTCGTTCCCTCCTAATTATAGCTGGTATGAAAACAATGCAACTAAAATGTTCTAATGATAAAATAATTTTTATACTTAAGCATTATATAAATATTAGTCGTCAGATATGTGGAACTTTTTAATATTTTAATGATCTTATTAACAAACCATAGAATAGTTGAAGATACCATATTTGAACATATTCCAAAACTCTATTTCTCTTGTGCTTCAATTACATCATTTAGAAATGGAATCGGGGAGACTTTTCTATGTTATGGTAGAAGATGATTTGTATCCTCCTTCCCCCAATATCCAATTTAATATTAAAAATTATTCTCAAATATAGTGATAATATAATGAATATATCATACATGAAACTTGCATTCTCCAGGTTAAAGTTACAGTCTGCCTTCCCTTTTACCACTGTATGTATTTGGCATATACATTAATCACATCATTTTAATAGTCAGATAATTATTTTTACACCATCTGTCTCCACCACTAGAATGTGAGCTCCTCAAGGCCGAGGGCCGTGTCTCATTTATATGTTTCCAATTTATATATTTCCAATACCTAGCATAGTGTAGCTTCTATGTAAAAGCAATGGACTGTCTTTGAAAGCAGTTTATATTTGAAACTTTGAACTAGTAGATAGCCCATAAGGATTAAGGAATATAAATTTCAAGTCTTTTATATTTGTTTAAGCTTCATTTATTTTGATTCTAAAGTTGTATAACTTTTTAGACTCTAGATCTCGTTAGAGCCTTACAAGATCTAGAAAATGCAGCTTCAGGTGATGCAGCAGTTCATCAGAGGATAGCTTCTTTGCCTGTTGAAGTCCAAGAAGTATCCCTACTAGATAAAATAACAGGTGAGAAAAGAAAATGTAATCTGGAACTTTTTTGGTAGTTGGAGTGAGGGAAAAGCATATGGCATTGTTTTTGTTTTGTAGTAATTTTATTATTTTGTGCTTTTCTTAGATAAAGAATCTGGAGAAAGGCTTTCTAAAATGGTAGAGGATGCTTGTATGTTGCTGGCAGATTACAATGGCAGATTGGCGGCTGAAATAGATGATAGGAAGCAACTCACTCGAATGTTAGCCGATTTTCTTCGTTGTCAAAAGGAAGCCCTTGCAGAGAAAGAACATAAATTGGAAGTGCGTAACCTTTTCTTTTTTTAGTGCTTATTTATTTAATTTATTTTTTGGTGGGAATTTAAAAATATTTTAATGTTCCTGCACATTTTGCATTTTTTTGACACAGACCTTTTTAGACAGTGGGCCAGGTAAGCTACTCCTTGCATTAATTGGTTTCTTTCTACTTAAACCAAATTAACCTGCCTAAGTAAATTTAGAAATTTGGAATTAGCAGAATTGGTTATATTTTAAAATTATTCGTGTGAAATTTCAATAATAGTGATTCATCTTATGAGTATAAACCTTTATCTTGAAGAATGAAAATAATGGGAAAATAGCAGTTGGTATAAAGTCTCGTGTCCAACTACAGTAAATTATAGTTGGATTTATTTAATTCCTGTTCTGAGTACATGCAGTCTTTTGAGTATACAATTAAGAAATAAAAAGACTTTCTTGGGCATAGAATTTGTTGTGGGTAAGCTAGTCCCCAGTCTCCCTGTCCCTGAACAATTCATTAATTTTGCTCAGGAAGGTAGTCTTCAAGTTACTCCTTTGTTCCATCCCTGATTCTGATGCTTACCATAGTCCCACCCCACTCCTGGCTCATACACACCCTTAGGGAGAAAGTCATTGCTCCATTAAATTTAGTGATGATCAATACTGTTGATGAGAAGTCTGGAGGTACAGGAATTAAAAAAAAAAGAAACACTCTCATATTTCCTTTGAGTGGGTAATTCTCCTCAGAGTAGCCATTGTCGGGGTGGATGGGCCAGATTTGATTTTATTTAATAGAATTTCATTTGAATAGTTCTTGTTTAAATTGTTTACTGCTATAGCAATTTCTTATTCTAATAATATATGGGAGAATTTCTAATTTGTTTGGATCTGTTTACAGCCATGCGTTGCTTAACGACAAGGATGTGTTCTGAGAAATGCTTCGTTAGGCGATTTCATCGTTGTGCAAACATCATAGAGTGTAGTTACATAAACCTAAATGGTATGGCCTACTACACATCTAGGCTATATGTTATTAATCTTATGGGACCTCTGTCATATATGTGGTCTGTCATTTACTGAAACGTTGTTATGCAGCGCATGACTGTATTTAGAGACAGTTCTCTGTAAATTTGTAGGTATGTTATGATACTGCCTCTATTAAGTTGCTTTTGTTTATTAGCGTTTAGGTCTTGTTTCAGCAGTCTGTACTTGTGCCGAAGATGATTGCTATTTCTACTTGTGGGAGCAGCTACTTGATTAAGTATCAGCAGCAGAGCTCTCGCATCCCAAATTCTCAGCTCTTAATTTATCATTACCACTTTTCAATTTGCTCCTCCTCTGCTCACATATATACTTTGAGAGCATAGTTGTTGGCACCAGGCTCTGCCTGTAGAGACGTTGCCCAGTTCTGCGGAGAAAGGAAAAGATAGACTTTTTAAAAAACATACAATTGATGGTTGACAGTTTTTGATCTTGTGATGGAACTTCAACCTTAAACATATTGTTACTTGTTTTATTGTTAGCAGAATTAAGGGTAAGTAATGTCATACAATTTTTGTCTTTAGTCTTTGGTATGGTTTCTTTAACTTCTGTTGAGCTTCTGTTGCAGGTATTGGACATGGGCGTATCTTCTAACGATGTCATCATCATTAGCATATTCTTCCTGCTAAAAATAAATATCAAACTCCAAAGCCTGTATTGTCTCATGTTTTTGAAAATTGAGAAGAAGACCAAAACTTTTTCTGCTTTATACTGCTTTCTCACTTAAGTTGGTTATTTATCACTGATTACAAAAATAGAGTTTTGTGTTTGGAATATAAGTGTAGAAAAAAGATCAGATACCACCCAACTCTCTCTTTTCCCAGTGCTTTCCAGCCAGATTTCATAGTTGATAGTTACAGGTGGTGAGGCTGACGATAATATTATTTACCATGTGTTATTAGTACTATTCTAAGCACTTCACATATATCAACTCATTTAATCCTATATAGCAGGAAATATTATTATCCCCGTTTTACAGAAAAGGAAACTGAGGCACAGGGAGATTAAGTAACTTGCCCAAGGTCACAAAGAGATAGTGAATTGTTTAGAAACCAAGGAATCTGCCTCCAAAAAGATGTATTTACCTCCACTTTTTACTTAGAGAAATGTAAGACAGCAAAAGCTAAAGTGCTCTCTTTCCAACTCTGTCTACTTACCGCTTCCTCTGAGTCACTGTCTTGAAATCAAGTGTTCTAGGAACTTTCTTTGTTGTTTTAGCGTGACTAGATTTTATCATATGAAGAAACCACTTAAATTATGCTAAACATTTTTTACAAGTAAAGAAATACTTAGATTTCTAATAAACTAGGAAGTTATTCCATGGAACTCTTTGTAAATTATTGTTTATAACTAAGTGATTCCTTTGTCAGAAGATAAAATGCTTTGAGATATTTAGACATTTTTAAAGTCTAAAGTGGCATCACTTTGAAATTGAGACCTTAGAGGTCAGGGTTTTTACTTAACCATATCAGCTGTGATATCATCAAATAGTTTTCAGTTATCGTGCATTTTTGAACATCAACTGTGATTGCCATGTATTGATGTCGTTAATTGCTCTTTTTTTTTTTTTTTTTTTTTTTAAATGGGACCTAAATTTAAAGTATTAGTTCAGGAATTGGCTATTTCACATTTCTTAAGGGGGCCACTATTAAAGCATTTGTAATGAATGAAAACATGAAGTGTTTGTAAAAACTTTGGAAATTATGAATCATCATTTTTGAAACTTGTGACTGGCTGGTTATTAAGCAGATAATTGTTAAAATAGACTATTAATAAGTCTAATTTATATTTATAAAATCTATTTCATACATTGCTGTAGGAATCATATTTAACTATTCAGAAGTTGAAATTATGGCATGAACTATTGTTCACCTAGCTTATTATCTTGAAAGGCATTTATGAATAGGGGACTTAAAATGACATTTTGATTTTGATATTTTTGGAGAGAGGGCAATATAGAGATCAGACGTTCTTCCATATTCAATGAAATTATGTCTTGTCTTTGCTTTATTTTGAATACTTCTTTTTCATGATACAGTTGGTTTAAGGAAACATGCTTTTATAAGATCCCTGTTTATCTCACAGTACATTGATCCATTTTAAATTGCTAAACTTCATAGAAAATTGATTTTCTAGTCTATGGAATAGATTTCCATAGAAAATTGAAAATCACAGTTTGATGGCTCCTAAAGGGAGAAATCAAATCATAGTTCCAAATTCTAGAAGTCAGAATGGGAAAGCTGTTAGAGAGGAACGTGTTTATCTTATGCAGTCTTACATCATTATATTTAGCTTTACTTTATTTTAAAAAATGAGGGCATAGTATTCATTGTATGAATGTTGTTTGTTTAGTTTGTCTCTCGTGGTGTCAGATTGCATCCATTGAGTTGCTTTTATTCGTTTTGTGCATTATAGGTAGTACTACAGAGAACAGCCTGGTGATGCAGGTTTCTATAGTTGTACAAGTGCATCTGCAGGATTGATTCTTAGAAGTAAAATAGAATAACTGAGTTAAAGGAAATGTATGTTTAAGTGTTGATAGTGTACTCAAGCCCTCCAAAAGGTTCTGCACTTTTAAACAGCTTGCAATGTGAATGCATCTTTTTCTACATAGCCTTGCCCCCACTGAATATCGATGATCTTTTAGGTTTTTGCATATCCGATAGGCTAAAAATTATTTTTTTGTTGACTCAGATTGATCATCATTAAAAAATATTTATTATCCTTTTTATTTCTGCTGCAAATTCCTTATATCCTTAACTGCTTTTCTATTTGGTTCTAAGTTTGTGTATTAATATTTGTCTTTGCCTTTATAGATTCTGGGCTTTCTGGATATAGTTAAAATGGCCTTCTTAATTTATAACTATAAGAATACTATGCTATTTTTCTATAGGTTTTTTCCCTAGTAATTTTATTAATTAGGACTTTTTGTTCATGGGGTGTAAGATGTAGGCATCTAATTATTTGAAAGTGATAGTAAATGTCCCTTAGTCATTTATTGATTAATGATTAATGGGAATGTAGTTATTTATTCTACTGACCCATTTGTATTACTCACTGTTAATTATACATTAGATTTTTGTTTGTGTTACTTTTTGATATTGTTCCTGTCTATAATTTTAACTAATCATGATTATTGTGTATATGAATTTTTACTTATTGTTTTATACATATTTGCCTTCATACGTAATATTTTAAATGACAACGTTTTGCTAAGTAGACATTTCTTAATTTACTTTGCCTTTTCCCTGTTTTTGGACGTATTGTTTTCTTTTGTTGTCTGTCCTCTATCTGCTAGACAGTATTTTCTAGATTTTTCAAGAATGCTTACTTTTATAAAACTTTTTGTTTTCCAACAAGTTCAATTTCCAGTTTTTTAAATGCTTAAGATAAATTTTGTTTTACCTGAGACGTTTAACAATTAGAAACTCCTAATGTCATGCTCTATTAATGTAGGAAATAATGTTTTAAGTATATAGTAGTGAAAATGAAAATTTAAAAATCTGTTGCTGAGAGTGGTTATCTGCATGTCGCTTTTTGATAGTTTTCAAATTATAAATATTATTCAAGGGCATAGTTGTAAGAAGTATATAGAACTGATTATGGAATTTTTTGTCTCTGGTTCAATTACTTCTTTATGTTTTACTCTGTTTTTCCATTGAAATCATATTGATTAAATTTAGAGATAATTTGATAAGATGGAGCTATATGGATTTTTCAAAGAAGAAAATGTTACTAGTTTCTTATATTACTTTTTGAGACCTAAATATTGTTGTCTAAAATTTTTTATGGTGAATTTATCCATTTTTCAAGAATCATGTAGTCTTTTAATTATTTTGATTGATTATGCAAGTAATCTATTTTCATCATAGGAAAAAAGCTACATAAGCAAAAGGGTTAGCCGTGTGTATTGGCTCCATGTATTATTTTGTATATTGTCCTTTTCATGTAATGTATTGTGTGTCTTATCATTTCACTGCTGT